GTGTGTGTGTGTGTGTGTGTGTGTGTGTGTGTGTGTGTGTGTGTGAGAGAGAGAGAGAGAGAGAGAGAGAGAGAGAGAGAGAGAGAGTTGACATTGAGACTTGGTGACCCTTAGGGCTTCGGCCAGTTCAGTGACATTGCAACTTGAGAATGTATGAGCAGCGACATTGGGGATACGTTGGATAGGAGCTTCTTCTTCTTCTTCTGCTGCTGCTGCTCTGTGTGTGTGTGTGTGTGTGTGAGAGAGAGAGAGAGAGTTGACATTGAGACTTGGTGACCTTTAGGGCTTCGGCCAGTTCAGTGACATAGCAACTTGAGAATGTATGAGCGGCGACATTGGGGATACATTGGAGACTGGGTTAATCGGGCTATGATGGCTGATCCTCCCTATCTCCCTCTCCCGCTTCATCTCTTTTCCCCTCTTCGTTCGCGGATGTATCCGGACTCAGCGCACCTCCCATGATTGGTGCGCTGAGTCCGCCCACTCTGAGTGATGACGAGTGGTGTCAGGACCTGACATTGTCCCTGCTGAGTCAGATCTTGGTATTTCAGTCTTCTGCTGTGCTATTTTTGCATTGTCTCTGAGAGGTCGGTTGTTGGTTCTGATCGATGCCGATTAGGCATGCAACAATTTGGTACCGGAGTGGACCTCATAGACAAGGATCTGCTCCGATAGAGTTGCTATCTTAAACGATCGATTGGTTGGTTGATTGGTTGGTTAATTGATTGATTGGTGGATTAATTGGTTGATTGGTTAAACGCGGAATTTTTTCCGACTTTCGTTTCTTGTACCTACTAGGCAGCACTAACAACTAATTAGCGCAAAGCCAGGATTAGGCACCAATCTTTGATTAACGATTATCAGGCATTACCTGCATTAATTAGTAACTAGTGCCACTGATTGGTTAGGCAGTAGTTAGGATTAGGTTAAGTGGTGCTAATTAGTGGTACGATTGAGGTTGGCACTAATTAACTTAGCGCTACTTTAGATTTAGACTGTTCTACCTCCTAATCAGGGTTAGGGAGCTAATCTACTTGCCCCAATTAGGTCTAACCTAATCACCTACGGTCATAAACCAAATTTGGGTGGGTTACAGAGTTTGGCCCACGTATCTGCAGTTAACTGAAAATTCGTTGAAAATTCCTGTTTTTTCCTTATTTCCTGACCTGTAAAATTCGAATTTCTTACTTCTTTTTGTATTTAACGAAGTAGGAAATTAGGAAAACTCGAGTCGTAACTAAAACATTTTGGTTGTTTTTTCTTTTCAAAATTTGAATTTTCTGCCAAGAAAAAGAAAAAAAAGGGCGGAATTCTGAACTTCGTTAAGTTGTTTTCTCTCCTCTTACTACCTGGAGGTCAGGTCGGTTTTGTCCTACCGCCTGACATCGAAGCCACCTTCCAATCCCACTTTTTTTTTTTTTTTTTTGCAAATTGGGGGTTGTGCCTTACCTATCTGAGGGAGGGCAATCATAGTTTGGGTGCACAGTTTTAGCCTGCATGTCCTTCCCCTCCCCGTCTCCTTCGTCTTGTTCCAATGGTCGGGTAAGTGCCATGTCAGCCAACTGCCATGTCAGCAGAGTGCCACATCAGGAAGAGTGCCATGACAGCAAGAGTGCCACGTCAGCACCAGGCTTGTGGCCAGCCTATGCTCCGACCTAGCACTCGCAGAGCAGCACAACAGGGCTCTTCATCTTCTACATCTGTCACTGTGGTACATCACCAATTGCCGTCAGACTTTTGACAGGTGCCAGCACCCAGCAACAGCAGGCATGGCCACAGCAGCAGCAGCAGCAGCAGTGAGCCCACTTGGGAGTACAGCAGGTCAAGATGCAGCGGGTCTGGGCCTGCCCGGTCTGCAAGGGCAGGGACCCAATGAGACTGTCGAGGCCTTCCAGCTTCGAGTGGCCAATTTCCTGGCCTTCATCGAAGAGGAAACTAAGTGTGGCAACGAGCTGAGGCCGCTCACGTCCGTGCAGCCGAAGAGCGAGGACAGCTGGTGGAGGACAGCAGGTGGAGGCCGCAGCAGCAATCAACCAATTCCGGTTGAAAGCCTGCTCAACACTGCGACAGCGAGAAGTGGTTTATGCAACGACCCTCAGAAAACGGCACTTCACGTCGACGGAGAACAATAACTATCCGACGGAAGCCGACCAGACCAAGGAGGAGATCTGCAGGATGATCGCGCAGCTCATCGCCACATGCAATTGGCAGCAGCAGGAGCAGCAGTGCCTGGCGCAAGTGATTGACAACGATAGGGACCAGTAGGATGGTACCAACCGCAATTTTTACACACACCTCGAGGACTTGGAGAACAAGGATGTCGTCATACCTGGCAATGGACCTTGTACAAGCCAGCCGTCCACACGATAACTGGAGCAGCGGATTGACCATGTGGTTGCCACAATCTGCAACCTTGGTGTGTTCTCAGAGGCAGCAACGATCAGCCAGGAGCTCACCGTGCTGTAGGCCGACGTGAATATGCTACAGCAGCGACCTGCAAATAGCAACAACTCACGATCGTTCAAAATGGCGAACTTTCGCATTGAGGAGTTCGACAATTACACAAGACCGATCCGCTCGCATTGTTGCAAGGATTGACCATCGAGCTCGGACCTCACGGAGTCCCCGTCGCCTCAAGATTGCAGCGCTCTATGCATGCCAAATTTGGTTCAATCATTTGGCGGTCAAGGTGGTGGAGAACCTGCACACCAAGCTGAATTGGGACGACATCGCCGCGCAATGGATATCACGCTTCAAGGCGAAATCAGATATTCAAGATGTTTCAAGAAAGTCAATCGACGTGCGATTGGTTGACCGAATGGCAAAAGATAGTTGCCATTCCGGACTCGAACTTGCCGATCGAGCACATCCGCAGCGAGCTCTTTTGAAGATCGGTTAACTCCTTGGCATCGACTCTTGGACAAATGGAGAAGTACGAAGATTTTGACTCGATAGTCACTTGAGCTCTCCCGGTCATCCAAGCGAATAGGCGTGCCGCGAATGAGAAACAATGGCAACGGAACTTTGTGGAGAGAGGAAAGGGGTAACGAATGCAGCCCGTCGCTACAGTCCAATTCAGTGGACCTAATGAAGACCAGACGCTAATGAAGACCAGAAGCGTCAAGTGAAGGAGAATCAGTCAATGCCCTTCAGGTGCGACGCACCAAGTCAAGAAGCTTAGAGGTGCAGTTTAAGCTTAGACAAAAGTGGGGTTGCTGTTTTTGGTGTAATACCACCAAGCACACCCCCACTCAATGTCGCGACAACGTCAAGGAGGATGTTTGTCCCAAGCCAAGCTCAAAAAAGTGAGCTCCGTGCGAAGTGAGGTGACTCCACTTCCCATTCCGCCGGACACGACTGCCTTGTTTGCAGCCTCCTACACGCCCGGGGAGCACAAGGATGTTGCAAGTTTACGTACTTTGTACGACGACTATGCTGTCCAGCTGGTCCCTTCGTTGGACCTACCTCTCCAACGGCAAGACATGCGCATGTGTGGATTCATCACCGTCGGAGGTGATGCGACTTCTTCGCCGTCATTACTATCATCGGGAGATTCGTTGGTTTGTTGGAATATTGACGACCTCGACTTGTTGACTTCAAAAGATTTCCCATGGTTGCCCCTTCCCACGCCCGGTTCCTTGCTGAAACCACATTCAAACACTTTCATGGCAGATTTTTGCACACTGCAGTACCATATTTGTTGATGGAAGATGGAGTAGCGGTTGTTGACCTTCGCGAGTACCTCATGAAGATTGACCGCGAGTACGACACGCATCGGTACAACACCATCGATGCACCGATACTTTACGTCCACATTCACATGGGGAAGGCGACCTGCAGCGCCTTGATCTATTGTGGAGGTACTCACAACTACATCAGCCAAGACTTCATTGCGCGAGCCAGCCTCGGGCGGCACGTTCGAAGGAAGTCGCAACCCATACAAGTCACGTTGACCGACGATCACACACACAAGGCCATTGGCCGGTGCATTGATGCGGTGCCTGTGTAGTTTGCCCCGCGTGCTAGGTTATGTCCTTCCACATCGTGACACGAAGATCGTCATGATCTTGGGCATGTCATGGCTGCGAAGTGAGTACCACCCGGTGAACCTCCATCGCCACACCGTTCACGTACGTGTTCGGAACGACATGTTAGTCCCATGCACTGTTCATCGCTCTCACCCTTCGATTGGTTGTCACGTGGTTTTCGTAGCGAGGATTCACAACTCAGCACGACACAACGTTGAAGAAACAAGCCTTTGCTCTTTGCATCCCATTCATTTATCAGACGTGCCAGCTACTGAAGTACCATTGGACCCACGAATTGTCGAGCTTCTCGACTCCTTTGGCGACGTTTTCGAAGCTCCCACCGGAATCGTACCCGATTGGCCCCTCTGGCACAAAATCATCGTTGAGGACAGGGTCGTACCTCCACGTGTTTGTATCTACCTCATGAGTGAGAAGGAACTTGAGGTGCTTTTTACGCAACTCGACAACCATATTGAGAAGGGTTGGATTCGTCCTAGTTGCTTGCCCTACGGTGCACCCGTGCACTTCGTTCGGAAGAAAAACAAGGACTTGTGGCTATGCATTGACGACTGCAAGCTTGACACTCAAACCGTTAAGAATGCTGGCCCCCTCCCGCGCATCGACGAGCTTCTCGAACGTTTGGGAGGCACCACGTACTTCTCGAAGTTGGACCTCAAATCCGGTTATCACCAAATTGGGATCCATCCATGGAATCGGTACAAGACGGGGTATGTGCACTTCAATTGGGTCGTAATGCCATTCGGCCTCATGAATGCCCTTACCACTTTCCAAGCAGCAATGATGACGGATTTTTGAGACATGTTGGACCGGCTCGTGCTCATCTACCTCGACGACATCTTTGTTTATAGCTGGACCTTCTTTGAGGACCACGAACACCTACTCGACATTTTGGAAAGAATACGTACGGCCAAGTACAAGGCCAATCGAGCCAAGTGTGTGTTCGCAAAACAAGAGCTCGAGTACTTGGGCCATTTTATGACGTCGTGAGGCATCCGTCTGCTCGTGGACAAAATTAAGGCCATCCAAGATTGGTTGGAAGCCGCTAATACCACAGAGGTTCGCTTTTTCATGGGATTGGCCCGACGCTACCAACGCTTAATCGATGGATATGCGTGGATTGCCACACCTTTGTCACGACTTAAATCCCTGAAGGTGCACTTCGTTTCACTGACAAGTACAACGTGTGTTCCGCATTCTAAAGATGGTGACGCTTATGGCTCTTGTTTTGAGCGTTTATAACTCGACTTCGCCAACGAGAGTTTTCTACATATGCTTCCGGCTACGACATTGGCACAGTCTTGAAGCAACATGACGACGTAGATTGGCATCCGGTTGAGTACTTCAACCAAAAGGTGCCCCTTGTAAATGCAATTGATGATGGGAGGAGGAAAGAGTTGCTGGCCTAAGTCACGATACTGGTTACACTTCCTCCTTGGGCGTCGTAGGTTCACATGGGTGATCGACAATAACCCATTAACCTATTACAAGATGCAAGACACGGTGAGTACGACGCTCAGGAGATGGATGTACTTCATTGTCCAGTTCGAGTTAACACCGAAGCACATCTTGGGATTCTTTAATCGAGGGGTGGATGCTCTTTCGCGATAAGCTGGTCTTTGCGCATCGACGCACCACGCCTTCGGACTTCGACGAGGACCTACACCATCATTTTGTACAAGCATACAAGATGGAACTGGATTATGCCATCCTCTACAATGAACTTTCTTCGGATCACCCGCCGACTAGCTAGTATGGCGTCGTCAACGCGTATTGCTTCTCCATTTGTGAAGCCAGGACTTGCTATTCATCCCTAGCGACCGCCGATTATGGACTCACCTCCTCGGTGAGTACCACGACTTGTGGCTCGCCAGACACTTTGGAGTCAACTGCACGGTCACTTAAGTGCGTCAACAGTTTTGATAGTCTGACGTCATCATCGACATCACCCATTATTGTGAGTGTTGCCAAGATTTTTTAGGCAACAAGCCCCTCAACCACAATCCCTATGGCAAGTTGCGCCCGTTGTCGAGTCCTCGAGAACCTGAATTGTCTATTGCCATGGACGTCACCGATTCCTTCCTTGTGATCGTTTTGGGCATGACAACATCCTTACGGTCGTTGACCGACTAAGGACGTATGTGTGGTTTCTTCCTTGCGAGTATCACACCACGAATCTCGAGCTCGCAAGACTCTTGAACACGGGCTGGATTGCAGGCCATGGCGTCCCGGAAGATATCCTTAGCGACCACGACACTCTATTAATCTCGACAGTTTGAATTTCTCTTATGGAGTTCGCCACCGAGATGAAACCGAGTTTGGCTCGTCACCCACAAACGGACGGGCAAACCGCTCAAATGATGCTTTGGGTGCTCATCCCCGGGGACCAGAAAGATTGGGTTGACGGCCTTCCCGACATCGAAGTCGCCTACAAAACGTTGTTCCATCCCATGATTCGTGCGACTCCATTCGAGTTGCACCAAGGTGGATGGAAAGGTCGTAACCTCAGTGATCTTCTATTCACTCGGGCAGTCGACATTGATGGCCCTTGCTCTCCCGCCTTTGTATGGAAGTATTGGGACTAGCTGGCCAAAGCTCGTGCAAATATGCAAAACGCTCAAGTCCGCGTGTGTGCCATGTCCTATCCCCGTCGGCTGACTTGTATGGCTTTCGTTCGAGGAGCTCACACTCGAACAAAATGTCTCGCACAAACTCCACCCCAAGTGGTTTCAGCCATGGACCGTCAAATCAGCCGAGGGCGACGAGTCCAATGGCCCATCTTTCGTGATCAAAATCTCGCCTCATATTTTGGTCAACCCGGTTTTCCACGCCTCCAAGCTGGCTACTTGTACACCAGAGAAGAGAGGTGATTTATCGGGCCGGTGATAGCATTACCCTCCTCCTATGCATGGCCACCAGGAGATCGATAGGGTGATTATGCATCGTAAGAATGACAACAAGCCAATGCAATACAAGTTCACCTTCAAGCAATGTGACCGTTGTGAGGAAACCCGAGGAGGGTGTCTGTTCGTTGCAGAAAGCCAAGGGCTGCGGCGTCTGTTACCCGCCGTGCCCACTTCGGAGGTCCTCAGTGACGGAACAGGGGAGAAAGGTGGCTTTTAATGTCGCTCGTCGCCTATGGAATTTGCTCGTAACTTTTAATGAAATACAATAATGCAATAGCCTACGGATATGAAATCTAACAAAGGGTTGCTCATAGGGCTTCCGCGAGAGGTTCTCAGATTTGCAGGGTAATTTTGTGATTTGCCTGTCCTTAGAGAGAGTAGGATCCGTGGGAAAAGGCAGGCAAACCATAAGCAGAACATTCAGGCACCAGGCAACAGATAAATATTTGATTTCATTCATCTAGTTCTATAATCCGGATTCGAACTCGGGTCTATATTTGAACAGTTTCATGGGCGTACCAACTCAGAACCAAGCTTACCAACGGCTTGAACGTCGCTAGATCATCGAACCCATCAGAGGGAAAGACAGAGAGCCAGGCAACAGTTCTCTTGCAACTGCGGTAATCATGATTTTTTCACATGCGGTAATGGATGATTCCCTTGCCAGCAGCAACAGTTTCCCTTGCAAGGGTAATGATGATCTGATCTCATGTGGTAATGGCTGATTCCGCTGTCAGCAGCAGCGGACTCTCTTTACATGAGCGGTAATAATTATCTCCTCACATGCGGTAATGATTGATTCGGCTGTCAGCAGCCGCAGTTTCCCTTGCACAAGCGGTAACGATGATCTGTTCTTATGTGGTAATGGCTGATTCCGCTGCCAGCAGCAGCGGGCTCTCTTTACACAAGCGGTAATGATGATCTGTTCTCATGCGCTAATGGCTGATTACGCTGCGAGCAGCAGCAGTTTCCCTTGCACAAGTGGTAATGATGATCCCTTCACTTCCAGTAATGATTGATCACGCTGCCAGCGGCAGCAGGTTTTCCCACACCAGCGGTAATGATGACCTCTTCACATACGCTAATGGATGATTCCGCTGCCACCAGCAGTGGTTCCTCTTGCACAAGTGGTGATGATGATCTCTCCACTTGCGGTGGTGGCTGATCACGCTGCTAGCCCGCTGCTAGCAGCAGCGGTTCTCTGGCACAAGCGGTAATGAAGACCTGTTCACTTGCGGTAATGGCTGATTACCTCGCCAGCAACAGCGATTCTCTGGCACAAGCGGTAATAACGACCTGTTCACTTGCGGTAATGGCTGATCACGCTGCCAGCAGCAGAGGTTCTCTGGCACAAGCGGTAATGAAGTGACCTGTTCACTTGCGGTAATGGCTGATCGTGCTGCCAGCAGCAGCGAGTCCTCTTGCACATGCGGTAATGATTATTTCTTCTCTTGCAGTAATGGCTGATTCTGCTGCCCACAGCAGTGGGTTCGCATTACACAAGTGATAATGATGACCTGTTCACTTGCGGTAATGGCTGATCACGCTGCCAGCAGCAGCGATTCTCTGGCACAAGCAGTAATAATGACCTCTGATCACAATGCCAGCAGCAGCGGTTCTCTTGCACAAGTGATAATGATGACCTGTTCACTTGCGGTAATGGCTGAGCAGCAGCGGTTCTCTTGCACAAGTGATAATGATGATCTGCTGCAGGCAGCAGCGGGTTGATCCTACACTCTCTCTCTCTCTCTCTCTATCCCTCTCTCTCTCTCTATCCCTCTCTCTCTCTCTCTATCCCTCTCTCTCTTTGCCCGTGCACTCTCTCACACTCTCTGCGCAGTCTGTCTCTCTCACTCTCTCTGCGTTGTCAGTCTCTCTCACTCTCTCTCTGCGCAGTTAATCTCTCTCACTCTCTCATGGATGGGTCCGCTCTCATGTTGTCTCCCACACTCGCGCATTATCTTGTCCGCAGCTCTGATCACTCCGTTTGATGGCTGCTCGTGCGAGCTGCGTTGACTGTACCAGCAGACGTGCACAAGCGGGAATGAAGGTAGTCAACTCACTTCTTAGCCATAGCATGCATGCCTGCCTTCGCTTTAGCTCACTTGCTCGGCCGCACACGCGGCAGCAATACTCGCCCTGGTCACTCCCTTCAGCGCACCCTGGTCCCCCTGGTCGCCCCAGCCCCGAATGTCCCCGTCCTTCCGCTGGTCTGCCCTATATTTCCCCAAGGCTGCGGCCTCAGGCCAGGGAGAAAACCCCCGTCCCCCGCTAGTGGTACCTGTTCACAACTGAAGGCTGGCACTGCCCGTGTACCTGCAGCACCGGGCCCACAAAACTGGAATGTTATCCCCACCAGCAGCTGCGATTCAGTTGGTACCGAAGGCTTGGGCCCGGTAGCCGTGGGCCAGCGCCCCGTGATAATTCTCTCGAACTGCAGATAGGCCATGCCGAACCAATAACCGTAGCTGAAACAATTGTTTCGAACTGCAGTGGCTTGTCTCAGTGTCGTGCAGGTGCCAATTAAGAGAACCGCAGCTGTTCCAAAGCGGACTGGAGTACCGTATCAGGAAATACCAACGTCGAAACGCCCAGTACCGTGCCTGTTTCGAACCTGCAACTGATCCTTCCTTCGATGTCACCAATGTCCTTGAGCACCGGGGGAGGGTACAGGTTTGCTTACTCGATAAATTCCAGAAAATCAGGTAAAATCGAGTGGGCGTTTATAAATGTCAGAAATCTATTTAAATCGATGAAGAGGGATAAATACGCGATCTTCGACAAAAATTCATCAAGAGTAGGATTTAATAAAATTAAGTTAAATATCAAATAATCACTCTTTCCCTCCTCTTTCATGATTTTTTTGTTATTTTCCCCATCTTTAATTTTGTTATTAGATTTAATGAAGATCGAGGGTTCACTTCCCCGCCAATTGGCCAGCGTAAAAAGGTTGCGCGAAGGCCTACACATGTACCTTCGCCTCACAGCTGGCTGAGTTGAAGTCCGCCTCAGAACAGACGAAAAGGCTAGGTTCCTGGCATGGTAGAGGCGGTTACCCAAGTTATCAATTTCGAGGGCTAGTACCAACGGTTGATGCAGGGAATTTTAGAGTTCATCTTAGGACCCCTAACTTTCCCCGACAGTTCCGACAAGAGTACCCTAAGAATCTCAATAGGGCGTTCGGTTGATGGCCCAATCCGTTTAATTTCGGGTGGTCGGCTGGTCGCGGCCGCCCGACATCGTGACGACACAGGATGGATTTCACAAGCAGATGTGTAAGCATCAGCCCTGCTTATCTACACCGACTACGAGAAGCGACGACTACGGAAAGAAGCTTCACAACCTGTCCGTCCGACCCGGACTTCCGTCCCTCCCTTCGACAGGCAGCTTTGCCCTCGCCGGTAGGTTTGGCCTTTCAAGGAGGGGGGGGCTTGGCATTCTGAGTGCCACACATGCCCCTACAAGGCTTAACTCGTAGGTAGAGGGGTAGGGCCAGGTTCGAGGTTTGTTAGGATTAGGCCCACTGTCCTTTTAGGGTCTCCTACCGTGTCTAATTTAGGTCTAGGCCGTTTTAGGCCCTTGGCACCATTTTGGTAGGCGCAAGACCCAATTCAGGTTAGGCAGGCCAAAGGTCCGTTTGGCGCCATTTCGTTAGGCGCCAGGTGCCGGTCTGCGGTAAGGCAGTTTAGGTGCCAAGAAGATGGTTAGGTGTCAGATTCGGGTCCATGCGTCAGTGCATTCCGAGGCAGCCTCTGAGGCTAGCTAGTCCGCCTCAATTATAGGTATAGTAGTACTCAGGTCCTTCGGAGGTAGACTTCAGTTAGTCGACTGCGCTGGGCACAAGTTGAGAGTTAGAGCACTGCAGTCGAGCTGCAGTAGGAGTCGAGAGGGAAAGAGAGATGAAGCGGAGCTAGGGGGACTTACCTGCCACTGACTTGTGACGCCACAACTCCAGCTTCGTCTCGACACGTCCTCACCTGCATGAAGGCACCACCTTAACGCAGGTCAGTACTTGGCACAAAGCGAGAGAGAGAGAGAGAGAGAGAGAGAGAGAGAGAGAGAGAGAGAGAGAGAGAGAGAGAGAGAGAGAGAGAGAGAGAGAGAGAGAGTTGACGTTGGGACTTGGTGACCTTTCAGGCATTGCGACTTGATATTGTATGAGCAGCCACATCGGGGATACATTGGCGACCGGGTTCATCCGGCTATCCCTCTCTGCCTTCGCCTCTTCTCCCGTCCTCGTCTGTGGATGCATCCGGACTCAGTGCCCCTTCCATGATTGATGCGTTGAGTCCCACTCACGTTGAGTGATGACGAGTGCGGTCAGGACCTGTCATTGTCCCTGCTGAGTGAGATCTTGGTATTTCATTCTTCCATTGTGCTATTTTTTTTTTTGTTTCTGAGACGTCAGTTCTTGGTTTTGATCGATGCCGATTAGGCATGCGACACCTCATCTCTCCCATCCACGTGCCTTGTCATTTACTTAGTGTGGCCTCACTGTATACTAAGGAAGTATCGACTATGGACTCGGTGTGCTAAGTTAATTTTGGTGTGGCCTCAAGTTTATAAGCCGATTAGTGCCTGCTGTCTTTGCCTCCCACGCACCTGCCTAAGACACATTGTGTCCTTAGCACCAACTAACACAGCTAGCCAAGTATAGTATGCCCCAAGCTCAGTTGTCCCTTAAGAAAGGGAAAAGTTGGCCAGCTAACTTAAAGAGGTAGCCAAGCTAAGTATGCAGCTCACCTAGTGAAAACTAAGTGTCAGTTCAAGTACTCAGTTCTTGTTATAAGCACGTTAAAAGAGGTAGCCAAGCTATCTATGCAACTAACTTAGTTCAAATTTCAAACCAAGCTTAAGTTTGGTGTGCCAACAGAAAGAGGCGAGATGTGTCCATTGCTTTACATAGGCTCAGATGCTTCTTGCCACTACCTACGGGAACATGCAATTGTACGTTTCTGGTGTGATCAAGCCCCAAGTACGAAGGATGCATACCATCACAAACAAATAAATATATACACCATTTAGTTGTGAAAAATTAAGCGGTGGTGGGTGTGTCTGATGCGGTTGCAAATTTGTGGCCTTGTTCAATGTTTCATAAATTCGATTTCCGATCTTCAAAGGGAACCAACTGTTTTGGCAATTGCCCACCAAAAAAATCCCACGTTCAGTGGTATTCCATTCCGGTGGGCAATTGCCCACCAAAAAAATCCCACGTTCAGTGGTGTTCCATTCCGGTGCGTATCACAGACAAAATGCCTAGCTCCAATACTCGCCAAATGAGCGGAATGAGAATGAATCTTTCGCTAGAAATGGGAACATACATTGCCATATTTTTAATCTTTTGTGCATGTTGTGAATAGTTGAGTGATGCCCATGATCGGGGTTTAACCAAGGGATAGTCATTCCCAATAATCCACTTTCACGATGAGCTTGAATCCTTCCTTGATTTGCACTTTAAAGTGGCCCTCCGTAGTGTTGTGGACATCTACAATGCGTTATTTGCATATTGATTGTACAAATGAGCAGTTCCCTTGTCGTTGCTACTCTCTCCCTTCTCGTTGTTGCTCTTTTGCGTAGTTACTCTCTCCCTACAAGGTCTTGTTAGCAATATACCCATAGATGGACAAACCAAATATCACCTTTATATACATTATCGCAATGTTTGTAATACTTTGTATACATAGTAGGGTGAAGGGCAATATACTTTGTGTTGTCCTCTCATGTTACCATAGCAACAATACACAATTGTGGACATTTACTTATGTAATGACCCGGCAAAACACAAATTGAGAACACACGGCTGATTTTTGGGTTGTGTCGTTGGAATGTATGCCTTGCTGAGATTCCTGCATTCTGCTGAGTTTTCTGTTCCGTGTGTGTGCGTGCCTGATTGAGTGCTTGTCGGCGTGAGTGTGTGTGACCCGCAAGGGTTCTTGTTTGCTTGGAGGCGCTGCAAGGTCGGTAATCTCCTGTGGCCGTAACTTTTGAGGGTTGCAGCGGGGAAAAACACTCAAGTAGCAAGGGTAGGGCTGCGACACGTAGGACAGCGGTGAAAGCACTCAAGTAACAGGTAGGCCGGTACCACTCTAGTAGGAGTTGTGTCAGGTACTCGAGGCCGAGCAGATGAAGAAAAAAAACTCGGCATTTTTAGAGGCCCAGTAGCGGTAGGCTAGAGGTAGGCGGCTACCAGTCCAAGTAGCCTCAGTCTCGGGCTTGTACGAACGATATCAGAGCCTGCAATGACGTTTCCCTCGGAAAGGGAGGAGGTACCGGTTGCTTGGAGGCCGTGCAGCCTGGAAGTCACCGCCCAAGAGGCAAGTAGGGCGCTATATCTCCAGCAGGAGCGAGTAGCTCCTCATTTGCGGTGTGTAAGGTTGGGCGACATATTGCTTGAGCGAGCGCGGTACACAGAGCGCTGCTTGGGAGGACGACGAGGAGCTGGGCGCTCAGCCTGGCTATGGCAAGAAGCCCAACTTGAGGAGGAGGAAGAACGGGGTCAAGGAGGAGAATGGCGAGGTACCTACCTCGCTCTGGTGGATGCCATCTTCATCAACTTGTCAGGCCCTCCATCAGGTAGGCTCCAGTTGGGGTAGTGCCGCACCAAGGAAGCTTTGAGGCTGAGTCAGGCGTGGCGGCTTGAAGAGCAGCGACCGTAGAAGCTTTGAGTTGTCTTTTGCACAGGAGGGCAGAGACCTTAGTAGTTTGCCATAGCCTTGGCACGTGAGAGGAACGTGAAGGGGGAAGCCATGGCTATCGTGGACCTGTTGTTGTGTTGGCAGTAAGAGGGAACTTCGGATATTGATTCTAGTTCAACCACTCATTGTTATTATTATTAGTTGGGAGAAGAATAAGATTAGCGAAGACGAGGAGGAGGAAGGTGGAGAGAGAAGGGGGATTTGTCATTGGTCTTGCTGGTGTACATCTTCTTCTTCTTCTTCTTCTTCTTCTTCTTCTTCTTCTTCTCTTTTGTTTTGGTATCTCTTTGCAAGTGCTTTCATTTCTTTCGCAATTGGGTGGTATCCCCGTGATTTTGCACTTCGCAAATGATTAGGATCGTAACACTTATATACATAGTGGGGGAAGGGCAATATACTTTGTGTTGTCCTCTCATGTTACCAAAGCAATAATGCACACAAGTATGGACATATTTGCTTATATATAGATTAGGGCATCGTACGTCGATGATTGGTCCCGTTTCGACACACGAATTGTTATAGAGTCAGCGATGGTCTGTTTCGACCACGTCCTGACAAAAGAGAAACCATTCCTCTCACCAACAAATACACTCGGAACTGGACAAGGAGCACGTGCGAGAGGATTTATGGTGACCATTTGCAGAGGAGACACTCCTCCGAATACTGGAACTCGTAAGATATGTTGCAAGGAAAATGATATGTGGACGACGGTGCTTGATGATGATGATGCCGATGATGATAATGATGTTGATGACAACGAATATGATATGGGTGATGGTAAAAGCGATGATGGATGACAATGTCCAAGACGGTCCTAAGCGCAACAGTAGACGATGGGGGAGGGGGGCGAGAGAACATATGGAGCAAATGGACCAATCAAAGGGGAGAGACAAATAACTTGTACTGGAAAGGAGTCCGGTAGGGGGGAAGGCGCAACAACAAGGGGACAACACAATGGTAGTGGTGAAAATACAACAGGGCAGGATGTAGGAATTGCGCCTGGAGAAGAAGAGCGGATATTCAGATTAGAGTGCATATAGAAGTTGGGATTGATATTGAAGTTAGGGTAGACAGTTGTTGACTCTCCACCATCAGCTGCTCATATGCTCGCTCCAGCACGTAGCTCGTTGTACAGAAGAAAGAAAGGTATTGTATCATGCCAGCTGCCTCGAACAAGAATTTCATCCAGTAATACAGTCACTTACCTCTTTTACGGTGCAGGTGAAGACAATGCTTTCTTGCTCGCCCTTTCATAAGAAAGAAAGGTATCGTACCATGCCAACTGCCTCAAAAAAAATATTTCATCTAGTAACATTATCTACTTAACTCTTTTACGATGCAGGTGAATACGATTCTTTCTTGCTCAAGCCCTTTCATAAGATCACTCTCCTACCTTTCCTTGATCGTGAAAGCCCTCTGCACCCACACATAACATGCTTGGTTCCCCCTCAAGGACGACACGATTTGTATGCTTGCTAGTCCCAGGTCTACTTCTCACGTCCCTTCCCCCTATGATAGATGGTGATGTCACCATCCTGAATGTTTTTAAGGGCATGGTCTATGCCAGCCAACTGTGATCATAAGGTGCCTTTTGGATCTGGTTTTTTGCCTTGGTCTTCCCTGTCATCATCCATGCATCAATGTATGGATCCTTCCTCATGCCCTTTCATAAGGTCACTGTCCTACCTTTCCCTTATCGTGAAAGCGCTCTGCACCCACACATAACATGCCTGGTTTCCCGTCAAGGACGACATATCTATATGCTTGCGAGTTGTAGACCACCTTCTCGCGTCCCTTCCCCCTGCGATGGACGACGATGTCACTAGTCCTGAATGTTTTCAGGTCATGGTCTATGCCATCCATCTGTGACGATAAGGTGTGTTATGCATCTGGTTTTTTGCCTTTGGTCTTCTCTGTCATCATCCATGCATCATCGTATCGATCCTTGCTCACGCCCTTTCATAAGATCACTCTCCTACCTCTCCCTCATTGTGAAAGTCCTTTGCACCCACACATAACATGCCTGGGTTCCCCTCAAGGACAACATGGTCTGCATGCTTGCTAGTCGCAGACCTTCTCGCGTCCCTTCCCCGTGCGATGGATGGCGATGTCACTTGTCTTGAATGTTTTCAGGGCATGGCCTCTGAAAGTCAGCTGTCATGATAAGGTGCATTTTCCATCATCTGGTTTTCTGCCTTCTGTCTTCTCTGTCATCATCCATGCATCATCGTATCGATCGTGGCCCCTCTATTAGACACAAAGGTTATTCTAACCCCCAAACCCTTCTTCCAACTTTTATCGACTTGTGGCTTCTCTCTTCAGCTAAGGAAGATGCAACAATGCCTTTGCTAGCCAGACGAGTGTGTGAATGGGACACCTGCACAAACTAGTAAGGAGAGTAGTTCCTTTTTTTTGCCTTTTCTTTTGTTTTGCAAGGAAAATGAGCAATAGCGAGATAACAAAATCCAGATTGCACAATCACATCGAGACCCAGAGAGTTTCACAATGTCCAAAAAGCAGCATTGCACCAATATGACATCAATCGAGAATTGTAACACTGAAAACCGAATGTCAATGAGACCTTGCTTTGGCCATCACCAACGTAAGTATCCAGGCCCTTCTCCCCACTTGGCGCTCGGCGCCCAACCTACTCCCTACACAACTACTATTTGTCTACTAGTTGACAATGCAACTGTGGACGTCAACAGCCAACGAAGTACTTGAAGATGTCGACCAATGCAGACCATCGCTAATATCAGGTATATGCCCTCGCATCATCATCATCATCATCATCCTTCTTTCTCTCCCTCGACTTTCACGCACGCCTTCCCTCAGTACACCCGAAGACAACCCCTGCGCCTTGCTGTACATCCAAACCTCAGCCAACTATGGGGCCTGGGCTATGGCGTTGCCCTCAGCGACGCCCTTTCTTGTACATGACCGCACTTCTGCAGCACCTTGCCTTAGCGCAAGCGGCAGCCTGTGAGACTCCGCTCGAGCAGTGTTGCCGCTAGCTTGCAAGTGTTTGAATGCTCCTCCAGGCAGCGTGGTCTTTCCTATATGAAAAGAGTCTGCCTGCCCCGACGGCCTGGCTAGGCTGGGCCTGTGCCCAAAAGCTTCCGGTAGGCCCCAGGAGGTTGTGCCTCTCCTGCAGCTACTGGGCCTCGTTCAGTTAGGCTACGAAACTGTCTGTGTATGTTGCTGGAATTCCTGCCCAGGGCTTGCATTTTAGATAGAAGGCCGTGGGAGTGTTTGCTGCTCGGGTCTGGGTTCCCTCAACCAATTGAGGCAACACAACTGCCTTGATAACGAATACGAAATTGACAGCGTTGGGCCTCTCGTGATTTGTTAGGCCCTCCTTCACTTAGGGTGGGCACATCTGTATCAGGGGCCCCTCATGCCTACTGAGGAGCCAAATCCTCGTATTCCCTTCTCCTTCGCTTCGATAGTTCTCTGAGAAGTCTTCTAATCTGTAAGCAACTTTCCCTTGAGTTCTCTTTTGTAGCCTGCAATCACTTTGGGCGCTGTCCGTTGGAGTTGTTCTCTAGTGAACCACCAATGTTCATTGGGATCAATATGGTGTTTGAATCTGACACGATATTGGAATCTGACACGATACTGCATCCTTGGCTTTGGAGGACGGCCTTTGTCGAGAGGCTTAGGTACTAGCATCACCCGATGCTCTACAATTTCGTCGATGTCGACTTCATCATGCATGTTTGGGGGCCGCATTGATCTGGAGGGAAATTGTGCAGTCTATGCGAAAGTTGCCAACTTTGAGGCGTGAAAGACTGGGTGTGTGTGGAGGTGAGGTGGGATGCGAATTACATAGGAAGGTCCATCTATCTGGTTTTCGACTACGCTAGGACCTCCCAGGGATCGGAATATTGTGGCATTAGTTTTTTGGATATTCCCAATTCCTGTCCCAGTTCAAATGACTTTACCCAGACTTTGTCTCCTACCTGAAAGTTAGAAGGCCGTCTGTGTTTGTTCTCAAATGCAATCATCCTGAGACTTCCTAATGTGTTCAACGGTCTGCTGTAGCATCTGTTCGTACTTGACAACAAATTCTATGCTGCCAGGTGCTGCAGTTGCTTGGTTCTCAGGCAGTAGGAAATCAAGGGTGGATTTGGGCTTCCAACCAAGATGTACTTGGTTGGGAGTCTTGCCAGTAGTGTTGTGCATAGTGTTGTTATACAGGCTGGCGACGAGAGGCAATCTCTCGTCCCAGTCATCCTGACTTGGGTTGATGTAATACATTGGTAGGTGCTGCATTACTCGGTTCATCGGTTTCGGCTGCCCGTTTGACTAAGGGTGATTCCTTGATGTCATCTGCAGTTTGGTTCCCATCTGTTGGGCAGTGTTTTGCCATAGTTCACTTGTAAAGCGGACATCCCTACCGCTGACAATAGACTTGGGCAAACCAAAGTCCCGCACCCAGTTATCCATAAACATTCTAATGACGAAGTCAGTTTTAGCAGTCTTTGGCATAGCAATCTGTCTTGCATACTTGGAAAATCGGTCCACTATAATGAAGATGTGTCTCTTTCCAATCCTGCTGGTCACAAGGGTATCCATGAAGTCCATGGACACACTTCGACTTGGACCTTCAGGAATCCGCAAGGGCTTGATAAGCCCAAGCGGAGCCTGAGTCTTGGGTTTGTCGCGTCGACAAACCTGGCAGGTTTCAACGTACCTCTTAGCACCTTGCATCATAGAGGTCCACCATAATGTCTACACTAGGTTAGCTGATGTTTTCTTTTAGCCGAAATGACCAGTTGCATCATGACATTCTCCTAGAAACAAACTACGTAAAGACTCTCTATCATGTACACATAGTCTTTGATTCTCAGCCTTCTCAAGGTACAGCAAGCCATTGACCACCGTAAACTCGTCAGAAGTTACTTTGTCTTTCGGCTTATGGATGATTTTTGACATAACTGCGTCCTCTTGATAGGCTTCCACCAAGGATCGAGTTATATCATCGGATATACCAAACTCAGTTATTAGTGCGCCTAGATAATCTGCCCTTCGAGATAGTGCATCATCTACCTTGTTATACTCTCCCTTTATTGGGTCAAGCTGATAGTCATACATGTCTATTACATGAATTCATCTTTTAAGTGCATCAGAGAGTACAAGTTGAGTCTTGATTCGGCGCAAAGTCTCATGGTCAGATCTCAAGTAGAAGAATCTGCCTAGGAGATAGTGTCTCCGATGGACCAGCGCTCTATGGAGGGCATAGAGCTTACACTCATATGTGGAATTCGCTAACTTTTGAGATGGCATCTTCATGCTCATATACTCGATGGGCCCCAACTTTTTCCCCTCATTTTGCGCAAGGACCGCGCCTATGCCATATTGGCTGGCGTATGTGGTCACTACAAAGGGCTGTTGAGGATCTGAAAGTTTGAGGACTTCATAGTGTGTCAAAGCACACTTCAATTTCTTGAAGCTTGCTTTACACTCTTCGGTCCACTCCCAAGGGATGTCAAGGCGAGTTAGATTTGTTAATGGGGAAGCTATAGTACTGCAGTTTTTGACAAACGGCCGATAGTAGCCCGTCCCCAAAAATGATCGGACCTCAGTAAAAAGGTCTGGGCCAGTCACGTATGCTGGCCACTTTGGCATCGTGCGGCCTCAACCCATCTGCAGAAATTTCATGACCCAAGTACAAGATCTTGGTGGGAACAAACTCGCATTTCTCCAAGTTGACCTTGTACTAGTGTTGCCTTAGGAGACCTAGCATTGTTTTCAAGTGCTCAGCGTGCTCCTCTACAACCTTACTAAAGATAAGGATATCGTCGAGGTACACGACGATAACTTGTCTAAG